TTAGAAGTTGAGGAGATCTTTTAAATATTGGTGGAGGTAACTAATTTTCAATTTTATCTGTTCACTATATTGAAGTATTACTAACAAGTGATAATATTTTCTTTACAGATCTTTTGACACCAAAGTAGAGGTTTGTTGAGCAAATTGTTATCAAACGACCTCTCGAACTGTGATGTAACTTAGTATATTTTTTCAGTCGACATCGACCAAATGACCAAACGGTAAATTGACAAATCAATAAAATGACCTAACCTAAAATTGTTTGGACCATTTTGAAGCAGCCTAATTTAATTAGTGCTGCTCATAGCCCGTTTCCAATTATTTGGACGGTTAATAAATGGAAACCCACTTAATAGCCCATTTATTTGGTTATTGGGCCTTGAACCATTACTATACCCTAATTCCCCCACTTAACTTGGTCGTCCCCTTCACTTGGATATATGAATTCATTCTCTGCCTCTCTTCTCGAGGTGTGTGTGTTTGTGTTTGAAAACGGGTGACTTTCTCTTTGTGTCTCTGCCTACTGTTTTCATTCACTCTATTGCCTGTGTGGTTACTTCATCATTGTGATTATAACTTCCTTTGTGATTTCTAAGTGGGTGAACAAAAAGCAACTGTAAGTGAAGGAGTGGTTGAAGGGAGTTTGGATTGTTTTTCAAAGTGGTGTCGATTATTGGAGGAACTGAGCCCGAAAAACACCTAGGTGATCTCTTTCGTACAACAATCATCAATGTCAAATTGATGGCGTAAGTATTAGGACCGAGCACTTGTTGCTTTAAAAGAGAAAGGAAGTATTTTCTGAAGCACATGTGATAATTTGGCCTTTTTGAAGATTTTGGCCTTTATGAAAGTTTTGGGAGAGATGGGACAAAGATTGATGGTGGAGAAGGCATTCATGGTGGTGGTGGATGAAGAAAATGGACATATGGTGTGGTTGCGGTAATGGTAGATTTGGGAATGGGAGAGAAATTGATAGGTGAGTAATAGATACATGAAAGTTATTGAGGAGAGAAGAGTATATATTTTATTATTATTATTATTATAATTTAACACCTGATTTGTGAAACTTTTTTACGAGTTCATTAAATTTGAATTTGTCTTCTTATAGTGTTGTATTTATGTACTTTTCCCTTAATTTAATGTGAAGTAAGTAATAAAATAATTATTGAAAGTTAAATAATAAATATTAAAAATACTCTTTTACTCGCTATGAAATTGTAATAGGATATTTTTTAATTAGTTACATTTTTATCGATTCGATTCTATGAACCATGCTCGAATCAATCTTCAATTTGAGTTATGCTACATGTATACTTTTCATGTACATAATGTTTTACACTACCTTCTTATGAAGGGGCTGCATATAATTTATTATGCAGGAACATCCCCTCTATGTGATGTATTGTAACCTATTATGTACTCGAAAAGTGTACAAGTGGATTAATCATTTTATGTTAAAGCATGGGATATAACATATGGTTGGATTTTGGAATATTTCGGAGACTTGTGCTTCTCATTTTTCTTTCTCAACTTTCGCTAAAATTTGGAAAAAGTATTTGGCATGTGTTTGAGCCACATTATTTTGAAAGAATGTATTTTGAAATAGTAGATTGATTGGAATGTGTAATTAAAAAATGGAGAAAATTTTTGAATTTAAGTGTAATATTATTTTATTGAAAAATATATGATTGAAATAATGACAAATAACTATTTAAGAATGTATTTTTTTTTAAAAGAATGTGACTCAAATAAAGTTATTGGAATACGTATTGACATGTTACTTGAAGCAAATAATGTAAAGTAACAAATGATCGATAAAGATAATTAAAATAATATTTTATTTTCATTCAAAGAAGCAAGCAAGAAAGAATATTTTATAAAAAATGTTACATGTACAATCGAAATTGACAATTATCATGACCCCCTCCGGTTTATTCTCTGCAACAATATTTCGTGATATTAAAATAATATTCATAAACAGAACATGATGAAATAGTGCCATTACATGCCACCTGATTCCAGTACGGTGCATGTCCCACAACCATGTGCCACCCTCAAAATTCAAACTTCTGTCCCCATAAAGGTTTAAACTTAGTGAAAATTGCACTATTGTCCTTAACTAGCTGATAGTCAATTTTTCAAAAAGAGAGAAAAAAAAAATGTCTGAATCTTTGAAGAAAAGAAAGAGCGAAAAAGAAGCAACTCCTTGAGCGGCTCTATCAAGGAGAGTAGCATCGAGCCCCAAAACGGCAAGCTAAGGAGGCTTAAAAACTGGACTTGTCATTCAAAAATGCCGGGAAAGCTTGCGCAAAAAACTATTACGTCATGCATCCTTGTGAATCCACGTTCGATTTCATGTACAAGCTGAGGATTAAAGCGAGTTTAATAAAATAGCGAATGTGGTATTCTTGTGAATAGTCGACAATGTACGTAAAAAGATTGAGAATTATATGAATAATTGGTTGATATATCCAACCACCGTGCATGTGCAAGAGTATGAAAATTAGATTAAATATTATTAATGCCCGTTTGATTTTTATTCTTTGATCATAAAAATGAAAAATATGATCGTTATTCATCAAATCAAGCCACTATATTTAATTTTTTATATCTTTTATAAATTTCATAACAATTATATTTTTTATATTATTTTTATCAAAATGAAAATCAAACCGACTCTAAAGAATTAATAACAGGAGAGAGATTCAAATTTACATGCAAAATTTCAGCATTAATTTAAGGAGCTGATTTGTGGTTCTTTTTGGATTTTGACAGATACGTGATTAAGGCTGGCAGTTGGCACCAACAAACCAATCAATCAATGGACCCTTTGTTTCGATAAAATTATTAGAAAAAGGATAACGTGTGATTGAAATCAATGTTTAGTCAAATAAATAGAGTTTTTCATGAAAAATAGAATTTAAATTTCGTTTCCAACCAAAATGACATATTTGATAGTAATATTTTTTCACGGAATTTGTTTTCCTCCAACCCCTCACGTGGCCGGATTTTCCACGGTTTTAATAAATTGATTTTCTTTGGGTTTTGATGGGAAAATGCTTTTTTAGCTTTTTTAAAATTTTAAAATTTTTATTTTCGCAATAAGACTAATTTCTATCCACAATTGTAAAAAATTTCATCTCTTTAATTGACAATTTTCATGAAAAATAAAGTCAAACCAATACCAAAAAATCTAAAATTTTAATATTTTTCAGGTAGAAAATTATACTAATCAAACATATTTAATTGACAACTCCCATTAAAACAAGTTCTAGGCAATTCAATTCTTTGAAATTAATTTTCTTTCCATCCAAATTCCATTCTTGCAATTAAACGGATCTTAAGTCTAAATTTTATATTTTGGCAGAGCTTTCTATCAGTATTTAAAAAAAAAAAATTCAAAAATAAATAAATGGATAATGATCGAATGGGTTCAATCTCATTTAATTTAACATTAGCAATTCCATTTGTACAGGAAATATTTCATAAAAATGCACCAAAAATCTTACATTATGCGGGGCTCATTTTGTAATAACAAATGCCCAAAAAATCACCGAACCAATAGTGCTGTCTCTGTTCTGTATTGTTGTACAGTTCACTGCTCATTTGTCATTGCTTTCTGTCATAAAAATTTGTCAATCACGTGCAACTGTACTGATGATTTAATTTCTATGGTCGAAAACTGACCTATCAATCTTTCTTAGCAAAATGTTTTTGTCATTGAAGATTTTCAACAATACAAGTTTAAACTTCAGAGTTTTGTTATTTGTATTAGAGTAAGGGGATCGGGCCCCACACATTTATTGGCGTGGACCTCCCGACCAGCATGTGAGTAGCAGGTAATTCAAAGTGTCAAACTCTCCGAGTACCTATAGCCAAACTCTTGATAGTAGTAACTAGTAATAGAGGAACCCGATTAAAGAAAATTTGTTTTAATCCAGTAACTTTATGGTTAACTAACTGTTATTTTCAACTCCAATGTTCCTACTGTAGGAAGAAAGGAATCGATTGGCATACCAATAAAATGCAGCGAGTGGCTAAAAATTAACGATAACTGGCAACCCACTAGCAAATGCTTTGTCGTTTTTTTTTTTTTTTAAATAATAAAAACCCTCCTCTTTAAGCCATCTAAAATTTAAGCAGACTCTCAAGGAGTCGAATAAGTGTGATGATTTATTATGGCAAGTTAGCTATTATTATCAGATTTCGGAAAAAATAGTTCGTCATAAAATTTATTCCTTGTTTGATTCCCATTTTGAAGTAAAGAATGCATTTTGAATAGTAGTCTTTCTCTTTGAAGAAGATCTCAATTCCAACGACGATTTCATTAGATATCTTACAATTAGAATCCCTCTTTTTTCCGATCCAGTTCCTCCACCACCGCGAACCCCAGTTAGATACAGGCATGCTACACTTTTTAGTTATTGGGAGAACTCAAGTACTCTCTTTCGGATTCAGGAAACAATTCTCAGAGATCTTTTTTCCTTTTCGAAGATATTGGTGGAAAATGTTTGGTTAAAAATTAAGGAAAAGATTTGCGTTTACATTTGATATTATTTTATTAAAAAATGTATGGTTAAAAACAAATTTTTAGAATAATGGAGATCAAACAAGGGCTTACTACAAGTTCGGCCACTTAACTTAATATTTATATTGTTAGTCAATTCTTCGATAATGAATCTCTAGTTCAGATTACAACTAATATTTTTAGAGAACTTGATAATAATAATTATGCAGAGAGCAAAGAAAGTAGACAAAATTATGTTGAATGACAAAACGGGATGGCTACCGCCAAGAGATAAAAAATTGGATTTAATTTTAAAAAAGTTTTCATCTTTACAGACTTTTCTTAAAATTTAAAGATTGTAATAAAGTAGGAAAATGCCAAAGTGACATGATTGAAATTTTGAAATTTCGATCACTCCGCATGTCAACAATAAAGTAACAGATGTAGGGATGGACCACGATTGAAATTTTGAAATTTAACAAGTAAAGAAAAGTATAATCAACTCATATATCCTACATACTTCTTAATCTGCAACATTTCTTCATCCCCTCTCGGCACTACCCAACGCAATGTCCTGCATTAAGGATTGCTTCTCCGGAATGTCATACTCCGGCGGCAATCAAATCACCATATCCAAAAAGAAGAAGAAACTTTTACTTTTATCTCTTGTTGCTTCAGTCTTATTAATAGCTGGAGTTACCGCAGTAGTCGCCAGAGTAAATTCAAGAAAAAGAGACTCCCATATCTCCCCGGCTCACATCATTGTCAAATCTTCGTGCAACATTACTTTATACCCAGATTTATGCTATTCCACCATAGCCAGTTTTCTTACACAAAACAAAAATGTGAAAAGCCAAAGGGATGTAATTGAATTAGCCTTGAACATTACTCTTACTACTCTTCAGAGCAATTACTTCAAGGTGGAGAAGCTCATAGCTAAGGGCAAGAAGTTGACAGAACGTGAAAAAACTGCGTTGAATGATTGTCTGGAGACGATCGATGAGACCCTTGATGAGCTCCATGAAACTGTTGAGGATCTTGAAGAGTATCCCAACAAGAAATCTCTTAAAGAACATGCTGATGATCTGAAAACCCTAATGAGTGCTGCCATGACTAACCAAGAGACCTGCCTTGACGGATTCTCGCACGATAATGCAGATAAGCACGTGCGAGAAGAGTTGATTAAAGCAGAAGATCATGTGGAGAAAATGTGTAGTAATGTTTTGGCTATGATCAAGAACATGACTGATACAGATATTGCAAATGAGATGAAAATGAGTGGAAGAAAGCTTATAGAAGATGATGATAGCAGGTGGTTGTCTGCCGGAGACAGGAGGCTACTGCAGTCTTCCTTCGTGACTCCCGACGTGGTGGTGGCGGCTGACGGCAGTGGGAATTACAGTACGGTGTCTGAAGCGGTGGCTGCCGCGCCGGAGAAGAGTAGCAGGAGATATATAATTAGGATTAAGGCTGGTGTTTATAGAGAAAATGTGGAGGTGCCCAAGAAGAAAACTAACATAATGTTCTTGGGAGATGGCAGAAGCAACACTGTTATCACTGGAAGCAGAAATGTAAAAGATGGTAGCACCACCTTCCACTCTGCCACTGTTGGTCAGTTCATTCTTCACTTTCTTTTAAGTTAATCCAACCATTTACTTGAATTAGGGTTTCTTTGGATTTGCATTATGCCATTTTTATTGCTAACTTCTGTATGATAAGCATTATTTCTTGGTTTAGTATCATTTAGAAATTTAAATTGCTAAAAGGTAAACATCGATCAAATTTGCTCAATGGTCCATAGGAAGCAGAAAAGAGATAAACATATTTATATCTTTGATGATTCGATAGATGAAAATGATAATCATTAGAAAAGAAGGCGTAGGAGTAATTTGGTAGAGATTAAAATCATATTTTGATAAAAGTTTTTAAAATATATGATTGAAAAGCTGTGAATCACATTAATATTTTGATAAAATTCTAAATTTTAATCCATTTCAACAATGGGCATAATTTGCCAACTATATTTAGATTAAGCCCGCCTCTATTATTTGGATTTATAATGGGAGAATATTGTTTTTTTTTCCTAATTGGATGGTCGTAAAAAACGAAAAAAAATTCGATTTACGTATATTATTATTTTATTGAAAATTGTGTGATTAAAAATAGGAGAAAGAAAAATCTAAATAAAATTGACGAGTTTTTAATGGGGGCCAAACAGAGGCTAATTTTAAGTCAAAATTAATCATTAATTTTAAATACTCATTTTATTATATTCACAACTCTTTAAGCATCAACTTTTGTTAAGGGCTTGTTTGTGCTCTTTTAATTTTAAAAAGTGTATTATAGAATAGTAATTGATTTTGAAATGTGTAGTTAAAAAAAAAAAAAAAAACTACTTATGTGTAATACTATTTTAATGAAAATGAGTGATTAAAAATGAGTACTGTGGGGGTAAATAATGTGTTAGAATGTGTTAGAATGATTGACTAAAATTTACTAAAAAAGTAATTTTAATCCCAAGGGCTGTACCAGCTGGTTGCACTTTTTGTTTTTGTCAATTAGTACGTACCCTTTAGTCTTTTCTGTTGTTCTTTCCTTTTCACTTATTTAAATTACGTAACTTTTAGGAAAATTTGAATAGGGATGATATTGGCCGACAAATGTGTTTGATTTTTAAATGCAATATTTTCTATAAGATAGGGAAATATTTCGGGGCAATTGACTAATGTTTTCAAGACAAATCCACTAATTATGTAGATATTATGAATTATTTTCATATATATATAGTCTATTTGGGAGTGATTTTTTCTTCAAAAAATTAATTTTTTGATCGTTATTTCATTATTTCAGTCGTTATATTTGACTTCTTCTCTTATAGATGGATCACACTTTTCTTTTAACGATCAAAAAATCAATTTTTAAAATTACTCCCAAACATGTTCATATATTATTATAATTAATCTTACGTAGTACAGGTCTCCTGCTTTAAAAGTGTAATTTTGTGACTATGGAAAAAGAATTTTCGTAAGATTTCACAGTTGATTGTTCGTGGTGCAGCTGTGGTAGGCGAAAGGTTCTTGGCTCGGGACATTACTTTTGAGAACACAGCGGGGCCTTCGAAACACCAAGCTGTGGCACTCCGTGTCGGCGCCGATTTATCAGCTTTCTATAGATGCGATATATTAGGCTATCAAGACACTCTCTATGTCCACAAAAATCGCCAATTCTTCATCGAATGTTTAATCGTCGGCACAGTCGATTTCATCTTCGGCAACTCTGCCGCCGTGTTCCAAGACTGCGACATCCACGCAAGGAGGCCGGATTTCGGTCAAAAAAACATGGTAACAGCCCAAGGCAGAACTGATCCGAATCAAAACACGGGTATTGTTATTCAAAATTGTAGAATTGGATCCACTTTGGATTTAAGATCCGTTCAGGGTAATTTCACCACATATCTCGGGCGGCCGTGGAAAGAGTATTCGAGAACTGTTATAATGCAATCTTTCATAACCGATGTAATTCATTCTGCCGGTTGGCATGAATGGAATGAAAGTTTCGCGCTTAATACTCTGTACTACGGCGAGTTTCAGAACAACGGCATCGGCGCCTCCACTTCCGGGAGGGTGACATGGAGAGGATATAAGGTGATTACTAGTGCTACAGAGGCGCAGAGTTACAGCGCCAGCAGATTCATTGCAGGTGACAGCTGGTTGAGCTCTACGGGATTCCCATTCTCTCTAGGGTTACAAAATTGAAACCCTAATTCTTGGACTTGGTAAGTGTTAATGAGCATCTCTTGTGGCAACCTCGATGTCATCAAGAATATTAGATCACTTCAATATGTCGATTTGGTTTTTATTCAATCAATTTGGACTGGAAACTAGAGATAAGTTACCCAAACAAGCCCCTGTTTGTTTTCCATTATTTAGCCATTAAAATGAAAAATATAATGATTATCTATTATATCAAGTCACTATATTGGAATTTCTATCTTTTGTATGGAGCTCATGACGATCATATTTTTCATTTTCATTCTTCAATTAATGAGAAACAAATGGGCCCCAAACATAAGCAAGAACTAAATTTGCAAGCCTTCGAGAAAAGAATAGGCCCAAATTAAAACCCATAACCATGAAGTATAAGCAAGCACATTCACCAAATGAAGTATTTCAACAGACAGTTTAAATTGGAAGAGAAATTTGAGATTTGCATTACGCATGAAGCCATAATGGGAACTGCTAGATGCCCTTCTCATAGGCGATTGATAACAGTTTCGACATCAGATGGGGTGTACAGATGATATCTTGGGGCCACACTCGCAATATCAACGTTATTGGGGGTAACCTGATATACCGTTAACAGTGTCAATAATACACTCAAAAACCAAAAATACTCGAACAATCAGAATTTCCTAAACCCCAAAAAGGGGAAAAAAAATTATGGACTAAGAGTGCCCGTTAAATCATGCAGCAGCTTACCTTTTCTTCCATAACTTGCTTCAAAATGGAAAGTGCTATGGTCTCCGCTTCTTTAAGAGTTAGATCCTGCTCACAAACAAACGAACCTCATATCCTGGGGGTACAGTTTACTTTTTCATCATGTTATGATATTTTCACATGGAGAGCCTTGCATATTTATTACACATTACTTCTGGTGTCTAATATATCAAGAAATTTAAGAATAACCATTGGTCAACTAGATGTAACATGTAGTTAAGTAAAATAATTAGTCACCTTGTTATACTGCTCTTGCAAAGAGCTATCAGCACCTTCAGAACCTGAACCGATGGCTTTTGCATTGCATTGCCAGAATGTGCCAGAAGGATCAGTATAGTATCTGTTTATTACAAAATCCAATCAGTAAAAAATACCAGCAGAAATGAATATACCTAAACAATCAGAACGTAGCGGAAGTAAAAAAAAAAAAATGGAAAAAAAAAAAAAAAAAAAAAAAAAAAAAAAAAGCACATTTTGGAATCAAAAAATTGCTTTTCCTGAAAAATTGATGAACTGATGGTCACCTTTAAAGTTTTGTAAAAATTGCATACATAAGTTATTTTGGATTGTGAAGAAAATGTATGAAACAAGTAACACTCCTTGCACAATGGAAACTCAACCATTTACATTTGACAAGTTAATCCTTGAGAATTCCAACACAATGTACAGAAGCGGAAGAAAGTAAGGAACTGCATCACACTGCTGCCAGATCACAATTCCAAATATATTAAGTAATTATCTAACAAGCTCCATAGAAGAACAAGAAACACAGGATGTAAAAGTAAAAATCCAGCATCATGTAGAGACAACAGTAGATACTTTGGCAAATTTCATTACTAGAAAATCATATCTGTAGGTTGTTTGATAGTAAAAAACTCAATAGTGGATAGAGAAGTGTCAAAGTTTCCTACGCATGTCAGCAGTTATATACCTTCCAGTGTGTAGACACACAAATTAATTTGATTATTCAATCCCAGTTAGCTAGTATGGTCTAGTTATAACTTTTTACTCATTGTTCCAAAATTCACGATATTCCAGCATGTTCATCCTGTCAATAAAATTTCTTAATCACAAGTTTAACAAATATCATTTGAGTTCAAAAATTTATGCTGGCATGACTGCTGCAAGTTGAAGAGCAATCAAGTGGAGGCAGAAATATTCTAGACCATTGCAACAAGTTACACCAACCCTCCAGTCTCAAAAATCAATATTTAAATAGAAGTAACACTTACAAGCAGGGACCATTCTCGTCATGACCAGCGATAAGAAGAGATACACCAAATGGTCTAGACTGCATGAAAAAAGAAATATCAAATGCCAAAAAAAAAAAAAAAAGAAAAATTGTAAAATGCCGAGAAGCCAAACGGAAAATAAGATGCAACTTTAATACGCTGAGCCCATACCCTATGGAGATGATAAAACAATAAAATAAGCAGGCAGCAGCTCAAAGTAAATTAATACACTTTAGTACATCCCCCAGAGAAAAGTTTAATTCATATTAACAACTTTATCTTTGTGGAAACTATTACTATCTACCTTCATAAATTTGCATTCCTACGAAGCCTAAAGTGTGCATTAAGGACTCCTCGTTCTCTTGGGTCTCAAGAAGCAGCAAAATTAGAGGGATATAATTATAATCAAATTACAGATATATTTCCTAAATTAAAGGTTAAAAATGTGATAATAAGAGATACACCATAAGTTTCAGAGCAGCAGACTTATATCCTTATACATAACTGCTACAAGGCAAAGAATTTTAACATCCAAAGTGAAAATAAAGAAAAGGGAAATTTATAAGTATGATAACAAACATATGCTAACCATTGACTCTTCATCTCCTTCACCAAATCGCAGGGCAAGATCACAGAGAGCTTGTGTGGTTGACTCCACTGTCATGGGCTCACCATAAGAGAACCTATGATTCTGCAAAATCAAAATTACTAAATAATAAACAATTGTCCATATCATTCTACCACTGGACGGCGGGTTACAATGGAGATTAAAGTCTACATGTACCTGAGTTTCAACTCGAGCATGTTCAACCAGTGTTCGGGCATCAGCAATTAAACCACTCATAGCACAGCCAATATGCTCATCTATCTCCATAATCTTCTCCACGCTACTAGGCTCCTACAATAGAATTAGAATATGAGAAATCAAAAAAAAAAAAAAAACATGACAAAAATTGTTTGACATCTACTTTCAAAAAGAACTAGTAAATTTAAACGATGCCAACTCCAAGGCAAGCTTTTTATATAGTAATATGCACCGAGGCAAACTGACTATGGTAAAAGCAAGGATAATCTCAAAGTCTATAAGATCCTTTTTGCGACAAGAGCATCCATAGCTAACTTCTCCTTCAGCATTAAGTTTCTCCAAACAAAGTTAGGTATCACGATACATTCTAACCTCCTCCATGCTGATATTAATAAACTAATTTTGACATTTTTTTTTTTTTTAACTAGAATCACATCATGAATACTGGTGTTAGAACACTGTTTCCATATATTCATTCTAGTTCATCTGTAATTACTCTTGCAAGGGCTCAAGCTCAAAAATGAACAAACTCCATTATTTACACAGTGATTAGCATTTTGTTCAAGCACCAAGAAATGAAATTTAGAAATAACATAAGGTGATATCAGTACTAGTACAGTTACCTAAACGAAACTTAATTATAATTTAGTGTTAACAGAACAAGTTGATAAACATAAAAAATTCCAACCCAATGATTCTGAAGGAAAAGGGTAGTAAATGTACCAAAAGTGGAGAGGTAATGCGCTTCTCGACATTGCCAAGCTTTACTCACTAAACTTTAAACTATTTTCGAGTGACTATTGGACTTCATAATTTTTTGAGAAAATTATTTTTGTAAAATTCCACCTAAAGTAAAAACATAAAGCCCTTGTTTGAGCCATATATATATATATATATATATATATATGTTGGAAAATATATTTTGATGGAAAAAATAGTCCAAACAAGGGCAAAATAAATATCGACTAGATAATGCGATTCTCAATCTAATATAAGAATATTGATATTTGTCAAGATATTAATTTTCTATTCGTCAATAGCTATGTTCAAGGGAAAAGAAGATTACTAGGAGCCTGTTTGGTAGAGCTTAAAAGTCAATTAAAATCAATTTTTGATCGTTATTTTATTATTTCAACCGTCATTTTGAATTTTTCTCTCACAGGTAGAACCCACCTTCTCTCTAACAATCAAAATATCAATTATCAAAATCTCTACCAAACAAACACTAAGTTATTTTATTTCTAACTCCAAAAGCATGCATGAAGTTTCTATAAATCCATAAAGTAGGACCCGTCTAGTTGAAAATTGAAACTATGAAAATTATTTTATTTTTTTACATTTCGAAAACTTAAAAATTATACAATTGACTGATGGTAGGAGTTATTAAGTAAATATTGTATTTTATAATTTTTGATATTTGATATGTATTATTTTAATTATTAAATAATTATTAAAATGACTAAAAACTAAAAAAAATATTATTAATGATAATACGCCAAAGCCTCGCCTAGGCTGGCTTAAGCTCGTAAAGCTTGAAATTTTGCCTTCACGTCGAGTTACGCTTTACGCTTTTTAGAACACTACTTCTGACCATTTATATATAAAAAAAAAAAAAAAAAAAAAAAGAAAAATTGTAAAATGCCGAGAAGCCAAACGGAAAATAAGATGCAACTTTAATACGCTGAGCCCATACCCTATGGAGATGATAAAACAATAAAATAAGCAGGCAGCAGCTCAAAGTAAATTAATACACTTTAGTACATCCCCCAGAGAAAAGTTTAATTCATATTAACAACTTTATCTTTGTGGAAACTATTACTATCTACCTTCATAAATTTGCATTCCTACGAAGCCTAAAGTGTGCATTAAGGACTCCTCGTTCTCTTGGGTCTCAAGAAGCAGCAAAATTAGAGGGATATAATTATAATCAAATTACAGATATATTTCCTAAATTAAAGGTTAAAAATGTGATAATAAGAGATACACCATAAGTTTCAGAGCAGCAGACTTATATCCTTATACATAACTGCTACAAGGCAAAGAATTTTAACATCCAAAGTGAAAATAAAGAAAAGGGAAATTTATAAGTATGATAACAAACATATGCTAACCATTGACTCTTCATCTCCTTCACCAAATCGCAGGGCAAGATCACAGAGAGCTTGTGTGGTTGACTCCACTGTCATGGGCTCACCATAAGAGAACCTATGATTCTGCAAAATCAAAATTACTAAATAATAAACAATTGTCCATATCATTCTACCACTGGACGGCGGGTTACAATGGAGATTAAAGTCTACATGTACCTGAGTTTCAACTCGAGCATGTTCAACCAGTGTTCGGGCATCAGCAATTAAACCACTCATAGCACAGCCAATATGCTCATCTATCTCCATAATCTTCTCCACGCTACTAGGCTCCTACAATAGAATTAGAATATGAGAAATCAAAAAAAAAAAAAAAAACATGACAAAAATTGTTTGACATCTACTTTCAAAAAGAACTAGTAAATTTAAACGATGCCAACTCCAAGGCAAGCTTTTTATATAGTAATATGCACCGAGGCAAACTGACTATGGTAAAAGCAAGGATAATCTCAAAGTCTATAAGATCCTTTTTGCGACAAGAGCATCCATAGCTAACTTCTCCTTCAGCATTAAGTTTCTCCAAACAAAGTTAGGTATCACGATACATTCTAACCTCCTCCATGCTGATATTAATAAACTAATTTTGACATTTTTTTTTTTTTTAACTAGAATCACATCATGAATACTGGTGTTAGAACACTGTTTCCATATATTCATTCTAGTTCATCTGTAATTACTCTTGCAAGGGCTCAAGCTCAAAAATGAACAAACTCCATTATTTACACAGTGATTAGCATTTTGTTCAAGCACCAAGAAATGAAATTTAGAAATAACATAAGGTGATATCAGTACTAGTACAGTTACCTAAACGATTTTTTTTTTTTTTAACTAGAATCACATCATGAATACTGGTGTTAGAACACTGTTTCCATATATTCATTCTAGTTCATCTGTAATTACTCTTGCAAGGGCTCAAGCTCAAAAATGAACAAACTCCATTATTTACACAGTGATTAGCATTTTGTTCAAGCACCAAGAAATGAAATTTAGAAATAACATAAGGTGATATCAGTACTAGTACAGTTACCTAAACGAAACTTAATTATAATTTAGTGTTAACAGAACAAGTTGATAAACATAAAAAATTCCAACCCAATGATTCTGAAGGAAAAGGGTAGTAAATGTACCAAAAGTGGAGAGGTAATGCGCTTCTCGACAGCAAGAATCACCCCTTCCTTAGTTTTTACGGCAATCGCAGTGGAACCCAACTATAAGGATCACAAATAATACGAATTTTGATCAAAACCAAAGTAATTTAAACTATATCCACGAAGATGGATATATATTAAAATTATCGTGAATGCGGTCACCTTGATGGCTTCAATGGCATATTCAACTTGAAACAATCGGCCTTCTGGAGAGAAAGTGTTAACTCCTCTATCATACTCAGTCCTTAGAAAAAGGGATAAATTCACATAAAAAAATAATAATAATAATAAATTAATAAATTAAAGAGAACACTAAAACCTCCTATAACCGCTAGGTTTCGAGTTGAAAGGCGATTCTTTTTTACCTTGTGAGGAACATTTTCGATTCGATTATAAGAGCTCAAAAAATTGCTGCAGATAAGTTTAACACAAATTAGGAAAGGGTACAAATTTAACAACTGCACAACTTTGCCGAATCAAACTCCAAATTTCTCTAAGATAATTTGAAAATATATGTAAAGAAAAATAAACGGATCTGAATCTGACTAACCTTAATTAGAGAAGGAATTAGAGAGCAGACTGAAAATTTTTTGGCTGAATTTTATTTTATACTCTGCTTAGGAGCCCTTCTTGTGAAGCAAGGCACGATTTGAATAATGTTTAGATTGGAGTGAAATGTTTTGTTGGTCACTAATTTATATCTAAGTCACACTTTACTCTCTCAATTTTAAAATGTTTTAAGTGATCACTAAACTTAAAGATCTATCACATTTTATTCACTGAACTTTAAAATACTTTTGAGTGATCATTAAACATTAATACGTTATAGTCTATAACTCATTTATCATGTTTCATTAAACATTAAACTTAGGGCATGTTTAGTAATGATTATGAGAATTGACATTTTGATGTAGGTTCTATCTGTGAAAGAAGAAGTCAAAAATGACAGCTGAAATAATAAAATAATGGTAAAAAAAATTTAATTTATTAGGATAATTTCTTTCTGGTTTATATTTTCTTACATGTTTATTTTCATCTAAATAAGGTTTTCTTCTATTAGATTTTCTAAGATAATATTTTTTCTTAAAAGGTTGACTAGTTTTTCTTTTATCATATTTTCTTTTATTCTTTTCTCTAAAATTTTTACCATAAGTCTGGGGTGTATAAATATCTTTACAAAATTTATAATCTGTCTTTTTTAATTGATTTTGAATTTGTAATTCAATACATTTTTCTTCTAAACATTGCAGTATAAATTATATATATATATATATATATATGTTGGAAAATATATTTTGATGGAAAAAATAGTCCAAACAAGGGCAAAATAAATATCGACTAGATAATGCGATTCTCAATCTAATATAAGAATATTGATATTTGTCAAGATATTAATTTTCTATTCGTCAATAGCTATGTTCAAGGGAAAAGAAGATTACTAGGAGCCTGTTTGGTAGAGCTTAAAAGTCAATTAAAATCAATTTTTGATCGTTATTTTATTATTTCAACCGTCATTTTGAATTTTTCTCTCACAGGTAGAACCCACTTTCTCTCTAACAATCAAAATATCAATTATCAAAATCTCTACCAAACAAACACTAAGCTCAAATTGACATAAACCTTAATTTATATCATAATCTTCCTTTACATGGAGAAAGTAAAATGGAGAAATTATGTCTCAAACATGCTATGAAATTTTTGATTTAGAATTAGTAATATTAATCAATATTAATGAAATAAAATTTTTAAAGTTATCACAATGTAATTCAAGAGGAAAAATTACGTCTTTTTCATGTATGATATTTTATACTTCAAAATTTTTCAATTTTTAAAAAATTGAATTCAATAAGTAAAGTTCAGTGATCACTAGAAAACATTTTAAAGTTCATCACAATATAATCAATTTTAATGAGGATAAAATGGTTCTTTCATATTTATTACATTAAATAACAAAACACACAAAACAAAATAAATAATGAAAAAACTGTGCCCTCTTCTTCCCAAATCCACCAAATCTCCAATCTAAATCAATAATTCTTGGATCACAAAGAATACAAGATTTTTCACAAAGGAGTTAATCACAATGATTGAACTGCCAAGAGAGAGTTTAGCAAGAAGAAGCACAATTTCTCACAAGGAAAAATGGAAGAAGAAAATGAAAGAGAGGCTGCTGCTTTTCTGTTCCTCCTTGCTGTTACGTTTTCTGTTTTAATGGCCGAGACAAGATGTTTCTTTTGTGAGCCCATAAAATATATAACAATCTTTGTTATTGGGTAAACAATAATACTATTTGTACATCACTTTTTCTTACATCAATTTTCACACTCCTCATAAAGGTGGGGTCCACGATTATTTTAATCGTAGACCCCACCCATTTACATTTGTGTGTGCTGTGAAAAAATGTGTGAATAAAAGTGTACATGTAGAATGGTTGGCGTGTAAAAGCCCAGCTAGATATAATAAGTCCCCATTAATTAATCCAATCTATGGAACAATTGAATGTGAACAAGTTTTCTGGGCAATTCGACATTCGCTTTTAAGTTTGTGTTGTTTTGTGTATTTTCTTGGAATCTAGGGACGTGGGTTTCTCGATTTTGTTTGGACTTTGATATGATGTGATTATTTTTTGTATATGGTGATTTTTTCCGCTGGTCGGAGGAGTGCCAGGGCCGGAAGAATGTAACCGTTGGTGGCGGTTGTTGTGGTTGGGGTGGGTGGATTTGGGAGGAAGAAGTTACGGCTTTTCTTCGTGTTTTTTGTCATGTTATTTAATGTGGTTCAAGTTAAATTTTTGGTTAACTAACGAAATTGTAGATAGAAATTGTCAAACACCTAGCATTTTGAAAGGTTAGAGATGACGGCTACAATAAAATAAATATTTGATGAAAGTTTGCTAATATTTTAAAGATTTGATGATTTTGCTGCAATTATCCAAAAAAAAAAATGAGGGGCTAAATTACCAACTTGTTAACCTTGTTTCAAAATGTTTATTCGATTATTTAATTAAGGGAATAAGTGCAGACAGTTCGGTTCATATAGCTTATTGAGCACTGAAACTGAAAGGATTTGAAAGGAAAGACTCCTACAAGATAAGGAAAGGCTAGATTAAATAGCATTACTCATTTGGAAATTCATTGAAAAAAATGGTAAACATTCATGATAGATTGGATGAATGGAATACCACAATTAATTGATAGGTTAGGAAGCGTCTCTGCGCACACAAAGAAAGTTGGGGCATTTTGCATGCCTCCCTTCGATGTTGGACTAAAGTCAAGAGTACAGTAGCTCAAGAAAGACTCAATCAAAAAAAGGTTAAACTCCAATCTTAAGGGTCCTCCACCGCCCCATCCTTGGAGCATCATGAGAGAGGTTAATTGCAAAATGTGCCTCAATAGGTTAGGGAACAAGAACTGTTTGTACACTGGCGCTTACAAAGAGTCACACTCCATGTTTCAGAAAAGTCGAATCATCTACGATGGAAAGTCAAATATTTTCTCAGATCAACCTCCATTTACGTACGGGTGCTTTCAGTGTTGCAGACGGGGTTTGGCAGTGCTCTGCATTGGTTTGTGGATTTATTCATTCACTTCCTTTCGATGAGCATTTGTGATCACTTGGGAGCATTTGTAAATAACAAATCATTTTCATTTGTCACCACACATTTTGACAAGATAGCATTATTCAAACCAAACTATCCAAGAGGATGACACAGCCCTTTATGGTTTAGACCTCCTTTGTCTTTTCACAACTTGCAGGTACAAAATCCAAGACCTTATCGTGAACGAATTTGGATTCGAACATCTCATTTCCATTTCCCAAATATGCCCGTGGGCATGATTTCCCTTATCATCTTTGTTCACGTAGTCCTCATTGGGAGGTAAATAGGTTTCATGATTCACTGTCTAATAAAAAAATGGTGCATTTTAAGCATTGTACAATGAAACAAGAAACTCGTCATCGTCTAGTGGATAATATATCTTTACTAATGATATATTAGATTACTAGTTAATGGTGTTCAATAATAAATATCGAACATTAGCAAGTAACGAGCGTGATAAAATTTTTGATTCAAATAAAAATCAAATTTTCAATAGAATGCAATAAAAATTAATAGAATGTCTAGTTAAAAGTTATGGATCAAATGAAACGTGTGATTAAAATTAATGATAAACTCTAACTTAATTTATAATCAATTTTTTTAACTAAACCCAAATTGATGCTAAATAATATTATAGAAGTAAAAATGTTTCAAAAAAACATTTTATAACACCATAGAGTATGTACTAGCACTATTAGGAAAATTTGCAGCAATAGTCCCTAACCTTTTCCATTTTTACAGACTTTACATTAACCTTCATTTTGTGTCAGCGAAAACTTTCTAACCTTTCATAAATATGCAGTTGGAGTCCAAATAGATGAAAAATATCCATTTGACCGTTAGTTAACCAAGAAAATTAAAATTTGATTAATATTAACCAAATTAAAATCGAAATAGTGAGTTTAAAATTATCACATTAAAAAATACAATAAAAGGGAAAAAATGGTCTCTTCTTCACCCCCAGTATATCCTCCACAACTAAAAACCAGTAACCAACATTGCTTGGCACCATTGCCAGTTATATTCTTCCCCAACGCCCATTCCAAAACCCCACCCAAAACCAAACCATTGCCACCAAATCCACAACCACTACCACTTTCGCTACCATCTTCTCCACTGCCAAATGGAACCTAAATAAAAAAAAATAAAAATAAAATCAATGAATCTGCAAAAATCAGCCTCCCTGCCGTCGACACCATGGTCGGATCCACACATTACTGGAAAACCCTTATTCCCTTCTATACATCCCAACCAACCACCAGCCCTAACTCCACCAAATGTTGCCTAAATAACCACCCAAAAAACACAAATCGATTTTTATTGACTAATCAGAATTCTTTCCCAAGGTCAGTCACACTGATAGGATCACACTTACTGTCGTGAACTATCACATGTCAACTCCCACAATCTAGGCGTCCAATCTGATGATGATATTTCAACAAAAAGGGGACAAAAAATCAATACAACTTTTGGGATTTCAAATCCTGCTCTTTGCGTGGGCGGGATTTGATTTCTGGGTTTGATAGAAATGAAGTTAATTTCTGGTTTTATATTAATGGTGGTGGGAATAGGTGGCAGTTGCTAAAGTTTTTTCTTGTTTTGATTTTTCGAATGTGGGCGTGAGTTTTCTTAGTTTGATTTTCAAATGTACAGTCGGTCGAACATGACAATGGTGGCAGTTTCAAAAAAGTCTCATCGGAGAAGCAGAGACTGCATCAGATTTTGATTTGGGGGAGTGGGGTGGGGTTGAATGGGGTAGGATTATATATTTATTTTTATTGTTTTGGATTTTATAATTTAATTTTTAACTTACTTAATATGAGGAAAATATAAAGTACCATTTTGCCCATTCTAATTTCGTCAAAATTAATCAAATTTTGACTTTCTTGGTCAACTAACAATCAAATAAATATTTTCCATCCATATGAACTCCAACTGCATATTTATGAAAGATTAGGAGTCTTTGCCGACACAAAATGAATGTTAGCATAAAGTCAAGAATTGAAAAAGTCTGCAAAAACAGAAAAAGTCAAGAATCGCTACTAAGACTTTCCCCAAACCAGCAAGATGGG